TATGGTATAATACTATGTACTTGTGTAATCCAAAGAGTATACAATGATTGATTAGCTCTACTAAGTGAGGGAAGTTTGGGGCAACTTATAACTTTTGTTCTTAAACTTTTCTTTGTTGTTTGAATTCTATAATGAACAATTATAATTTTCACAGAAACTGAAGAATTTCTTTTCTCATCCCACCTCAATTCCATTAAAAAATATTCAGAACATAAAAAATATAATTCTATGAAAAATAATAAAGAAAATATGAAATTAAGACAACCACTGTATACAATCTAGAGCCTCTCTAATGAGTAGGGGTAAAGAGATACTTACAAAATAATTTAGGAATTCAGATAATTTTGATGCTAACTACAAAAGAGATAAAAATATACGAAGATAAAAAAAATATCCACTCTCTGAATGTAGAATTTATTTTAATCAACTTTTAGAAAATACAAATACATAATTTTTCGACATAAACTCCTTGTTTTCAATACAATTTGCCCATCTATCAACAAGCTTTCCTATTCCCTTATTGGAAAATATTTTAGGTTGAGCTGCCAACCATGTCTTCATTTATTCATCAGAGGTGAATCTTCATCCTTGAAGGGCTGCTTTCAGGGGACCAAACAGGTGCAAGTCCACTGGAGCAGATCAGGCCACAGGAAGGATGCTTTAACACCTCAATTCCAAGTTTTCGCAAAGTGTCAACAGTGTGGGCAGAGGTGTGGAAATGTGCATTGTCAAGTTTAGGCTTCAGCTCTTCAGTGAGCATTTTCACTGAAGATGCTGACTGTTGAATCTTTTTCCTGATAGTGGTCCAATACTGGCCCTTGAGATTCCCAGAAAACTGTAGCATCAATTTTCCAGGTGACAGTTTACTTTTGCACTTTTTGTAGGTCAGCAATTGAGAATACTTTCATTCTATACTCTCCTGTTTACTCTCAGCTGCGTAGTGATGGATCCATGTGTTCTCACCAGTAATGATGTTTGTTTGTTTTTTAAACGAAACTTTACCTTCCCTTCAAGTATCAGTCCAAATTTTATTTTCAGATGTCCAAATGCTTCTGTGTATGCTCTTCTGTGAGTTACTTCATTACACATCTTGCACAAACTTTTCAAAACCCAAGTCTGTCTTGGACTGTTTCATAGACAGAGCCATGACTGATTTGCAAATGATTTGATACATAATCCACTGTTACTTGTCTTTTCAACAGAATCATTTCACATGCAGGCTCAATGTTGTCATTAGCTGTGGGTGTGCACTGGAGTTTTAATGTAACCAGAGTGTGGATAATTTTTTATTCACCCTTGTTAAAATGAAAGGAAGTGAGAAAAAATTTAACTAATGATATGTGGAAAAAGAAAGATGACATTTAAAGATTATTATGGCTACAACAGGAAAAGATAGCAGGAATTAATACATTCTGAAGAAAAGTACAGGATGTGATCATAAAAGATTAATTTTTAGGTGGCAGGGCTCCATCCTGCAGCATGGAGTTGAGGCTTAAGAAAGAGCTATAAAAGTAGGCAATAGTCTGACTACATGTGACCTTAAGAGCCAAGTTGAAAATCATATATTCACTCAATTATTTGCTTCTCCATTCATTTACTCCCATGCACAAAAATTAATTAATTCATGTATATATGTATTCATTCATGGATGAAAGTGCACATAAAGCCATCATATTCCTAATATTGAAAAAATAAAAGGAGCCTTATAAAAATGTGATTGAGGATGTTTAAGATAAAGGGGATAGTTGTAGTTATGATTATTATACAAAATATTATACGTATTCATTCAATAATAGAAATCTTTACTAGGAGGCGAGTCCATACTTGTCAACACAATAAAAAAGAAAAAAGAAAAGAAAAAGCAGCACAAAAAGGATAACATTTTTTTTTACCAAGTCTTTTTGTCCATTGATACTTGAACAACCATAAACCGGTATATGTTAAGAATGCGTTTACACATATCTGTGTGCTCATCCAAGAGATTTTTTATTTCATTTGCCGGTTCAAGAAGAAATATGTTTGAAGAGTTTATAATAAACACCTAAGATGGGGGAAAAAAACACATTATTATTTAAGGAATTTCAGTGACATACAAGGGTAGGTTTAAAAGTATTACGATGAATCACAGAAACCTTTATTAAACAAAAACACAAAATGTGAAGCTATTTTTTTCTCAACATATCCATCATTGAGGTTTACAGACTCTGAAAAGTGGTGTTTCCATCTTTCTAACCCTTCCCTGAAGAACTGTGCACCTTTATATTTACACCACATCAAAACAGCATCCTTGAAATCGTAGTCCTTTCAAACGTTCTTTTGAGTTTTGAAGGGAAAAAAAAAAAAATCAGGGCTCTAGGGTGGATGGGGTAATCTTTCCCAACAAAATTTCCCTTGTCTCCTGGTGTGGCACTGTGGATTAATGCGCCAGACTGCAAAGCCATTTGAACTGTAAGGTCGGCAGTTCAACTTCACCAGCTGCTCCTCAGAAACCCTATACAGGGTCACTATGGGTTGGACCCGACTCGACGGCACTTAATAACAACAACAACAACCATCAAAGAAAGGAGCTCTGGTAACATAGTTGTTACGAGTCAGGCTGCTAATCACATGGTCAGTAGTTCAAACCTACCAGCAGTTCCACGGGAGAAAAACGGGGCTTTCTGCTCCCATAAATATTTATAGGCTCAGAAACCCTATACAGGGTTGCTATGAGTCACATCACCACCACCACCATCCTCGAAGAATAAGTAGGCACCATTGTTCCAATGAAAAAAATATTCCTCCATGCAATTTTCCTGGTCTTTCTCTCACCAATGCAGTTTTCAATTTTCTTAAAACTGTTTTCTAATATGCCCCTGTGATGATCATGGGTCCTATGAGAAAATCTACCAAGATTACCCTTTCGGAATTTCAAAAAGGTCTCCAGAACCTTCTAAGCTGATGTCTCTGTCAGATTCCTTCAAAAGCCACTGTTTAGATTGGACCTTATTCTGCAGACATCTTAATGGATAAGACAAAATACATTACTGAGAGAACTTGTCTGCAGCCATTCAATGATCACAGAAACATGTATGAAAACACTCTGCTTTGAATAAAACCAAATATATACTAACTGGAGCCCAAGTAGCAATATCTTGCTCTCATACATATTAGACTTTGAAAATACTAAACTACTTATTAACAATATTTCAATTAAAAAAAAAAAAAGTCATAAAGTGATCCACCTGCAAGACTGCCTGGGTACCAGCATGTATATTTTGTTCTGTGGCTTCTTCAGAGGCATTATGAAGAACATCTTGGTAGGAAGAATTTTTTGCCCAGCTGGAATTTCGAGCATTATCAGCAGTAATGGTCCCATTTTCCTGAAACAAAATATCAAGTATTGAATATATTACTAATGTGGCGCTGTGGGTTAATACATCAGACTGCAAAGTCATTTGAACTGTAACATTGGCAGTTCAAGCTCACCAGCTGCTCCTCGGAAACCCTATACAGGGTTGCTATGGGTCGGAACCTACTCAACGGTACTTGCCAACAAACAACAATAAAATAATAGTAGACTCCTGGTGTGGCGCTGTAGGATCAGCACTGGACCATGACCCACAGGTCAGCAGTTCAAACCCACCAGTTGCTCCTCAGAAACCCTATACAGGATCATTATTAGTAGGAAATAGGAGTTCTGATGTAGTGCTATGGGATAATGCACTGGAATGTAAGGATGGTTTGAAGCGCAAGGTAGGTGGTTTAAACTTACCAGATGCTCCTTAGAAACCCTACATGGATCTCTGTGGGTCAGAACCAACTCAATGGCACTTAACAACAACTCATACCTTTGTAACTGCTATTCCCACTGCATGTCCCTGTTCCCATTTGTTTACCTACTATTCATATTATATTACCTCCTCCATGAAGTCTTCGATCATCCCACTTTGAGTTAGGTATTCTTTCTTTCAAGCTCTAGGATAATAATGCTCACTTTGTATGTTTGTCTTCTTGTTAAATCATAAGTTATGTAAAGGTAGAAATGATGTCTTTTTATGCTCATGCCTCCAACTCTAGTACTCCTAAAGGTGGGCATTACCACATTGTAGATGATACTTTTTAATTTGTGGGGGTGTTTCGTTGTCATAAGTATTGAGAGATACCGCTAGGATTTAATAGAATGGGCCAGGTATATGATACTGCTGCATGCTACATGTATTTCAAAACTCTTACAGATTCAATGTGACTAAAAAACCCATTTAATTATCTGAGCGGATACCTCCATTTTCTCTACGCACACCAAATCTTATGATTTTGATCTATACTTATAAAAATAAATTAATAAAAGATATGCCTTTGGTTTTGGGTTCAAGACATTAACAAGAGTTGTAGCATTTTGAAAATGAAAACCACATCTCTAATGGCAATATTAGTTTCATTATTTGAGAAATCAATGCAACACACATATAACTGATGAATGTGATGTTGCTATTTTCACAATAAGGGACTCTGATGGTGCAATGGGTTAAGTATTGAACTACTAACTGAAAGGTTGATAGCTTGAACCCACCAGCTATTTTGAGGAAGATAAGGCTGATTACTCCTGTAAAGAGTTATTTGGCACATACAGTCACTACAAGTTGGAATCAACTAGACACCTGTTGGTTTGGTTTGATATATTCCAACTGATTCCTCTTTTGTCTTTTGTTTTGCATGTGTGTGTGGAGAACATGGTAGTCTGCCAGGGTTGTTATGCCTAAATATTTACATATTAAAATACATATAGTTTTATCATATTTTTTCCTTTTATTCTCTTTTATAGTAAAGTTAGGACATTGTTGTTTTAATTATGTAGGTAGATTATATATGTACCAATTTTACTTAAGGAGAATAAATGATGCAGGGTCAGCTCAATACATATAGATGTAGCAAGACTAAGAGACTTGAAAAAATTGCACTGATTAATTTTCCTTTTCTAGCATAACACAATCTTTACATTGGTGTAGAATGTTGTTATTGTTAAGTGCCACTGAGTCAGTTCCAACCCACAGCGACTGCGTATAGGGTTTCCAAGGAGTGGCTAGTGAGCCTGAATCACCAACATTGAAGTACAAACCAATTTTGCAATCCAGCACATTAACCTACAGCACCACACCAGGAATACACCTATACATTTTATGATTTTATTTTATAATTTATATGGTTAACTTTAATCATCTCAATCATACTTCTTACCTTTTTCCCCTTCTTAGTAATAGGTATATAGTTATTTATTTATATATGCATGTATGTATGTACATATCATACACATACACACACATCTGTGTAAGTATATATTCCATTAACATCTTAAAGCCCCCTGGTATATATATATAAAAAAAACACCAAACCAATTGCTGTCAAGTCAATTCTGACTCACAGAGACCCCATGTGTTACAGAGTAGAATTGTTCCAGAGGGATCAGAATATAATCTTTACAGAAACCTATTTCCAAGACTTTCTTATGCAGTACCATCAGGTGGGTTTGCACCACCAACCATTAGGTTAGTTTTTGTTGTTGTAGTGTGCCATTGAGTCAGTTCCAACTCACAGCGACCCTATATAGTATTCCCCAGGAGCAGCTGGTGGGTTTCAACCATCGACCTTGTGGTTAGCAATTCAGCGCTTACTCTATAGCACTACTTTAGTAGTGGAGCACATGCCATTTGTGCAGTCCAGGAATCTTCTGATTACTCATGAATCCCTGAAGAATGTGACCATTCTAATTATATATTAAAATCATGAGTAAACTGCATTCATGAGGTTAGTTACCAGGATGAATAAACATTACCAAATGACTCCTATCTAGATTCAGTAACACTTATGTCAGTATCTGAACTCCTAGTATGGCACTGTAAGATCACCACTGTACTTCAAACCACATGGCTGGAAGTTCAAACACATCAGCTGCTCCTCAGAAGTCCTATATAAGGTTGCTATAAGGAGCTCTGGTAGCGTAGTGGTTATGAATCGGGCTGCAAACTGCAAGGTCAGCAGTTCGAAATTACCAGATGTTCCACGGGAGAAAGATGAGGCTTTCTGCTCCTATAAAGATTTACAGCCTCGGAAACCCTGTACAGGGTCGCTATGAGTCGGAACCGACTCCACAGCACATAACAACAGCAACAACAATGGAAGTCAGAACCGACTCAACAAAACTTAACAATAACAAAAGATGTCAATATCCGGAATCCTGGTGTAGCACTGTAGGATAAGCACTGGACTGCTAATGGTAAGGTTGGCAGTTCAAATCCACCAGCCCTCCTTTGGAAACCTATACAGGGTTGCTATGAGTCAGAACTGACTCGATGACCCTGCACAGTAATAACAACATGTTAATATCTAGGACCCCTGGGGATGCTGTGGATTAAGCATCAGACGGCTAACCAAAAGGTTGGCAGTTCAAACCCACCACTCACTTTGCAAGAGAGGCAGTCTGCTTTCCTAAAGATTTACAGCCTCAGAACGCCTATGGAACAGTTCTACTTTTTCCTACAGACTATGAGTCCACCAGACTCAGCATGACCATTTTGAACTTTCTCATGTGGCCATGAAGGCAAAAGGCCAGCAGGTGGTACAGCACACTGTTAACTGGCAGAGCAAAAGCCATGGACTTTCATTTATTGCTATGTGAGTTGTTCTTTTTTGTTTGTTTTCCTTCTTGCATCACACAAAAGGCGACAGCAACTGCAGCCACGTAGCCAAGTCACAGGCATACCCTCTACAAACCCACCAATTATGCAAGAGCCAATACCAGCTACTATATACAGGAGTCCTGGCGTGGCACTGTGGGTTAATGCGCTAGACTGTGAAGTCGGTGTGAACTACAAGGTTGGTGGTTCAAGCTCACCAGTTCCTCCCTGGAAACCCTCTACAGGATTGCTATGGGTCGGAACTAACTCGACAGCACTTAACAACAACAACAACATATACTGGTTACAGAATACCATATGACAAGGAAGTCAAGTTTATTTCAAGATAAAACAGAAGGTTTTAATTTGGGGGAAAATGAACAAATTATTCACATTATCTTATTTTACCAGATCAGGAATTTTCTGATCCTACAACCCACTCTAGTGCAAAAAATTCCAACAAATTCAGAATATTCTGGTTTGTGATGGGTACCCATGCATGAAATAATATAGGCAATACTTCCAGGGAAAGAACAACTGTACTTTGTAACCACTCCAAGAAAAATATACTACTATATCCATTTGATGTAGAATCACACTGCTTTAAATATTACTCTTAAAATATTGTTGTTATTTGTGTCATCAAGTCAATTACACCTTTAATATTGTTGTTGTTATCTGTGCTGTCAAGTCAGTTCTGACTCCGTATAGGGTTTGGATTCTGAAGAGTAGATGGTGGGTTTAAACTGCTAGCCTTAGAGTTAGCAGTTCAGTGTTAAGCATACAGCATCACACCAGGACTCCCATCTACTAATTTCAATCTAGACAGTCACTTAAAGAATAGCAAAAGAGCTTGATAATATATATTTCGTACCTGTGGCATCAAAAAACTTTGGGTTAGGAAATATATATTTCAAAATATACTGAAATAATCTTTACCTTCCTATTTAGTAAGAGTACTTGTGTTAACATGCCATTGTATTTGTGAAAATCTAATCTATTTAAACCTATAATAAATTGTACCTCTTCTCTTTTTTCTCCTTCTTCCACTGAAATATCATGGTCTATGACATTCTCAATGCAAGGTAAGTCTGAAGATGAGATCACAATTTCTTCAGGTTCTTGCATGAACAAAGGTTTTTCTTCTTGTTGGATCCATTCTTGATAAACTTTTACCACTTTTCTCATAGCTGCTGCTTCACAAATTGGCAATAAAAATGCCTAGTGGAAAAGAGAGGGAGAGAATAAAGATACTTATTTCACTGTCACAAACTTCTTGTACACACGTCTACCATTATAAAACAGGAAATACAAATGACTGTCTAAAAAGCTTCTTGTAGCTAAATAATTTATAAATGCATTGAGAGATAAATGCTTTTAGAAGCCAGAATGACTTTTAAATGGAAAGGGCAAAGACTTGTTTCAGCAATCTCACGATGCAATATTCTGTGTCATAAAATAGTTGTGCCCAGACAAAGCTCAATGTAAAAACAAGTTTTCATAATAAATCAAATTTAATAACTTCCATTATTACTGATTTAAGAATTACTGCTAATAAAGTAAAATTGAATAAAAAGATTTTACTTTTTAAAACAAAAATTAGACCTAAACTCTAAGAACTAATAAAAATTAGATGTAACAGGACAACTGGAAAAAATAAAGGTTAACGCTTTCACAGTTTATTTTACATATAATAAAATTATTTAACTTAAATAATAAAGTAAAATCACTAAAATATTCAAAGGAGTATCTTATAGCTATTTTTCCCTTCAGTACCTTCTGGTTTACCTTAATTAGAAAAAGTGAGTATTTTCCTAATCACAAAAATACTATCCTCATAGGAAAAATGTTTTAATGCAATCCAGGCATGCAAAAAGAATACTATAAAGACACTCTTAATGTCACTTCCAAAGCCCTTTCCCTATGCATGTTTACGTGGTTATATATTGTAAACATTTTCACTGTACAGGCTTCTAATCTCACGGTCAGCAGTTCGAAACTACCAACTGTTTCACGGGAGAAAGATGAGGCTTTTTGCTCCCATAAAGATTTACAGCCTCGGAAACCCTATACAGGGTTGCTATGGGTCAGAACTGATGCTACTGCATACTACCACCACCACCACCATTAATTTAAAACTCACAAAACCTTTACATAACCCTGACGATACTTTCTGGCCTAGATTCATCAGTGTCGTTGTTGTTAAATGCCATCACGTCGTTTTTGACTCAAGGCCACCTTGGATAGGGTTTCTGAGACTGTCAATCTTTGAGAATGGAAAGTATCATCTTTCTCTAGTGAAGTGGGCTCAAACCACCAGTCTTGTGGTTAGCACACCAATGCATTGTGTTGCTGCTGTTGTTGTTGTTAAGTGCCACTGAGTCAGTTCGGACTAATAGGGCCTTGTATAGGGTTTCCAAGGAGCAGCTGGTGGGTTTGAACTGCTGAACCTTGAACCTTGTGATTGGATTACATGAAATCCCCAGATATTCATTCAGTTATCAAAGTAAAAATATTTTTTATTTATATGATATACAGGAACTTTGGGTCCTATGAAAATAGAGTACCTGTCCTTGTAGAGCTTACATTCATGTGCTACCTTAACGATGAAGAAAATCCTTTTATGGAAGTACAGAGACAGCTGACGCAATCACTCTGTCCATCAAATTACTCAGGCTAGTTTGTACTAGTAGAGTTTTGTTTCTATTTTTATTATTATTTTTTTTTAATACAGATTTTCAGTGGTGATGAGCTTTTTCAACCCCATTGGTTCTACCTTCTTGTATTTCCCATTCTAATTTCTTCATAACTTAAAAAAACAAGTCTCTCTAGTCTCAGGTATTATTTCTCAATTTTGTGCTGAGATGCATGTTTATAAGACCTGGAGAGATAATTTATTGGAATGAACTAACTGACATCCTCCATTCCCCCTTTCCTTTTTTACATGAATGTTACTACTTCATATGTAGAATGATGTTGCAAAGTTACCATGGTGAAGTTGACAAATACCACTAAAATTATTGATTTAGAAGTAACTTTCTCCTACTGCTTTAATCTGATAAATGGTTACTATATGACATTTTCTAATACGGCAGTCTAAGTTCTGGGTATCTGTTACTTTGGCACTATTCTTGTAAGCCTTTTTTTTTTTTTTTTTTTGCCAGAGTACTATACCTCAGCCCTATTTCAAAGACAAATCTTAATTGAAAGAAAAGTTATAGAAACAATAAGTAAGATTATTTGTTTTATAATATATCCTCCCTGTCCAGTTTGGTTAGCTTGTTATGCAATATAAGTGAAATATCAGGTTTTTATCCCTTTGCCATTTTTATCATTAAAATTCACACACACACACACACACACACACAGAAAAAAACCACATCAGAAGTCCTCACTGCATTATGGTGGTGGTGGTAGTTATGTGCCGTGAAGCCGGTTCCGACTCATAGCGACCCTGTACAGGGTTTCCAAGGCTGTAAATCTTCACAGGAGCAGAAAGCTTCATCTTTCTCCCACGGAACAGCTAGTACTTTAGAACTGCTGACCTTGCGGTTTACAGCCTGATTCGTAACCACTACGCTACCAGAGCTCCTTCACGGCATTATAGGTGTATTTAATAAGAATCATGGACCAAATGATCTTATTTTCTCTTAGTGAAATTAGTAAAAATATCAGCTTTCCTGAGATAATGATAAAGTTACTGTGTGATATCAACAGGGGTATCTCATGTTATCCATTAATCCTTTTATTTAATTACCTAGTGAACTGGATTCTTAGCTACCTTAGCGTGGAGGAAGGTAGACTCTCCACTCAGTAGTATCCAATCTGTCTGGGTGGGACTGATGAAAGGAGAGAGGGATAGGTCTTTCTCCCATGAAACAGCTGGTAGTTTCTAACTGCTGACTTTTGAGATTAGCAGCTCGATGCATAATCACTATGCAACCACAGTTCCTTTCCCGCGTCACATAGTCCATCCAAGCAAACCTGAAACCTGACAACTATAACCACTGCCAAAGCTACACAAATTGTGAAATCAAGTTTTTGTCTGAATGTAGGCTGACCACTTTAATTACTGCCTCATTCTTTGATATACACACTAAAAAGCATCTATCAGAGATGAAGAGCATTTGCTTTGTCTAGAGAAACCCTGACAAGTAAAGGCAGTGTGCACAGAAAAAAACAAAACAAAACACTGACATGGGAAATAGGATATAGTAGTTTTGTCCCAGATCTACTACTTACTTGCTATGAGAATTGAGTGACCTCCTTCAGCTACAAACCTCAATGATGTTTGCCTGCAAAAGTTAAGTACCTTTGCTATTAAGAGCCACTGATTAATTTTCATAAATTTTATTTTTTCATAGCACCTCTATATATTTGAGAATGTGCATTTAAAAATTAATTCCTAGCTAGCTTGACGCAAAATTGTTTTGTTTTGTGTTTTTCCCCTCTCTTTCTCTGTCCTTTTTTTCCTCTCAAGTAAAATCTGTTTTAACCAAACTGCCTTAGAAGGCAACACTATTTTTGAAAAGAGGATAAAAGAAATGAAATCAGAAAGGCTTCTCACATTCTTTAACCAACTTGTATTGGTCACAGCACAGAAGACAAAATAGTTATTATAATTAAATAATCAAATGATGAAAGAAAAATTTCAAAGTGTTAAACTTGCTAAAGTTGTGTGATAGACACACATTCACAACAACCAAAAAAAAAAAAAAGAAGAGTAGGTGCTGAGGCTGGTTATGTATAACCAAAATCTTCATGGAATTTGGTTTCTTGTGTGTAGATTTAGGGTCATGGTTTCATAGGACACCCCAGTGCACTTATGTCCGTTCTACTAAACATGAAGAATTTTATAATTTCCAATGACATAAGAATTTACACTTTATAACTGTACAACTGGCCTAAAAACATGTTTAGTGCTTGTTCTACCTCCTAGGCCCCTGCGTAGTAGCAAGGGTCATAAAAGCTTGCAGGCAATTGTCCAAGGCACAACTATTGGTCTTTATTCACCTGAAGCAACAGAGAAAGAAGGTGCCTCAGAAACAGAAGGAAGATACGAACTCCACAAACAACTGCCTTCATTGCTGTGATACCTGATTTGACCAGATACCAATACTGAGCATTTTGATCTAAGGGTCTATAGAAGATATACCAAGGACAACAAAACACCTTTTTTTACAATGGATGATTCCCTTCAAGAAGACAGTATATTTAGTTTCATACAGAGATTCCTACAAGTGTCCAGTATCACCAACGTACAATGACCTTACTGATTGTAGGACCTCAGACCAACTCCTAAGAAGTATTGCATCCTTCCTGCAGCAAATTCCTCCAATGTGACTAAACCCCTGATATCACTTGTATTGACTGCTTCCATTCTCCACTCAGCATCGTTGACTTAACCTGCATATTGATCAGTACAACACTCAGCCATACTCCATTTAGTTCAGCCAGCACAACCTATGTTCTAACATTGTGAAACAAAGTTAAGTATCAAGGACATTAAGTTCTCATGTCGATTTAATGTAGTAAAGGCCCATTGTATGTTTTAGTTCTGAGCACCCATTCCAGCTTCACTGTTTATGTACTATCAGTGTGACCTTGAAAAAAACCACTTCCTCTACATCATTTAGTGCTTTAACAGGCATGCCAGTCTTCCTTCATACATAACAGATAAAAATGAGTTTGTATCTTGAAAATATGTAAATGAGAAGGAAAAAAAAAAAAAAGTCTATAGAAGAATCCTGATCAAAAGGGGGAATACGCAGAACAGATTTAAAAATTCTCATAAACTTTAGATTTCCAGGAATCATGAAGGTTGGATGAACCTCTGAAATCAGTGTCTGGAGATATCTTTAAACCTTAAACCAAAAATATTCTCTTAAATACTCTTAAGACAAAACAATGTTAAAGTTGTTGTTAAGTGCCACAGAGTCAGTTCTAACTTACAATGACCTCGAATAGGGTTTCTGAGGCACAGCTGGCGGGTCTTAACTACCGATCTTGTGGTTCGCAGTCAATGCTGATCCACAGCAGTGTACCACTAATAAAAAAAAGGTCTGCCTTGAACATTATGTTTTTTTAAAGAACTATCTCTATGGTAGAGGCCTGGTGTGACGCTGACCGTAAGATGAGTTTGAACTGCAAGGTCAGATGTTCAAACCCACCAGCTGCTTCTTGGAAACCTTATACAGGGTCGTTATGGGTCAGAACTAACTTGATGGCACTTAATGACAACATCTCTATTTATCAAACTGACAACAGCAATTGAAAATAAACTTAGGGGGCAGTGAATTTATCTTAATATGGAAGGAATTTACAAAAGGAAGTTGAAAATAGTTGAACAACTCTAAGAATATAATCTATATCACTAATTGGTACGTGTACAAACTTTCACAATTAAAGAAAAAATTATTCTAATAATACAAATGTGAGGGGGTAGGAAAAAACTTATTAAACTCATCAAACCAAAAATGCTAAAGTATATGAGAATATTATAACATTAAATATAGTCAGTTAAAGAAATATGAACTTTTAAAACATCTCCATAAAGAATTAATAAAATTTAAATACCCAAAAGTTAGTATAGCCTTTATCACACATTTAACATACTCAAGAGTATTTTACCTGACGAAATATCTCTGTGACAAAGTTTACATTACTTCTTTTACAAGAAAAAACTCTCCGAACAATTTCAATGTCTGTGAGATGTTCTTCATCAATACTGCAGAGACTAGAGGAGCTAGGTTCTCGCTCTGTGAGAGTGCTTGTGTTGGAATGAGATTGTTCTGCCTCTGTGCTTCTGTCTGCTTTATCAGTATTATCATTTTTGTTTTCTTCTCGAGATGCCAAACTAGCAGCTGCTCTCTAAAATTTTTAAGAAGTAAAAATATCTTTATTATTTAACAGGATGTTTTATCATTTAATAGCAATCATTATAGAAGCCAAAGCATTACACAAATAATTGTTTAAAACTCAGGCAGAGTTATATTTAGAATCCATTCTAAATATTAGATGACAATGCAAATAACTCAAAATCTGAGTAATATAAAGGTCCCACAAAACATAAGGAAACTAATCTACATGATCAGTAATTTTTTTTTTCCTCAGTACATTTAGAGTCCTGGTATGGCACTGTTGGATAAGCACTGGACTACTAATCAAAAAGTTGACAGTTCAAACCCAGCAGCCGCTCCTTGGAATCGCTATATAGGGTGGCTATGAGTCAGAATTGACTCAATGGTACTTAACAACAACACATCTGGAAAACAAACAAGTTACCGAATTAAAGCTAACAGAAGAATAATGCAAATGGAGACATCTCAGCTCTCCAAAAACTTGACATTGGTCTAGTTACCTAATTGCTGTTGTTGTTAAGTGCCGTTGAGTCAGTTCAGACCCATAGTGAATCTGTACAGGGTTTCCAAGGAGCAGCTGGTGAGCTTGAACTGCCGACCTCATGGTTCAAACCAACTTTGCAGTCTAGTGCATTAACCCATACAGCCCTCCCCAGGACTCCAGTTACCTAATATAAAGTCTTAAAGTTAAAAACCATCTCTGTTTTACCTTAGAAACAAAATTACACAAAAACTTTTTAAACATAAAAACAAACAGAACAAAATTATGGCAGATGTAGGAGAAGTGAAGCTAAATGAATATATTAGAAAGCTTGAAAATTTTATATCCTAATAATTTAACAGAATTATCACCAAGACTAAGATCAAGCCGAATTCTAGGGAGACAGTAAGTCTTACAGTGGTGACAAATCCCCACCAAGGTTTGATAGGAGAGCATAACACTGTGGTATGTAAATAATTTTCTTGAAAGTTATTCAATTTTAGTCTTAGTTTTATCATCTAGGAAATGAAAGGTTTTAAGTAAGTGATCATATATGCTTTCCTGGACAAACAGTCTATGATTTTAAGTCTACTGAATTCTGGTACTAGAAAAACAGCTCTTCTTGAGGGTTTCTGTATTTTATAACTCATTATAGAGAAGCTGGACTAAGGTTTTTGGAGAAAACATGACATACAGCTTTCTACAGAAAACTGGATGACTAAGGAGAATAAAAGTCAAACTCTCTGATCTCTAATGAACTAAATAAACATCCACCTCATTTTTGAAAGTTTTAAGAAGGCATACAAAAAATGTATACCATATAATATTCTAAAACTTAAATGAGGAAATCTGAGCAATGGAACAGTAAAGATATTAATAACATACTATAATATAGACAAGTCCCGTTTCTCCAATAAAAGAGACAGGATTTTTCAATTGCATTCTGTGAACACCTAGAAAATATTAAAGGGCTATGAGGTGCTAGAACCATTTGATTGTAAGATATTTCCATTTATAAAATTTGTGCAATTTAGAATACTTTTAATACTGTATAATAAAATACAATATAGGAATATATGAGAAGCTGAAAATGGTTTAAAATTGAAATTCTCTTCTATATATAGTAAGTTTAATGTTTTAAATTTTTATTTGCTTTAAATGTGCTCTACACCCAAAGCAGTTGAAATCAATGGACAAAACTTCAAAACCATTTCTAACTTTAATAAGCATGGCTTAGGTTTATATTACCTGAATATTCTTTGGTAAGACTTCACCTTCCATCCCAGGAATATGAGGTCCTATATGTGGTTTTGGCTCAAGCCAGAAAGAAACCAGCCAACGAATGACAATAACACGAGCCTTAATAAAAGGCTCCTTTGTACAATAGATTGCTTCATTGGTTTCAGCATCCTTCTTTACCATTACATAATGTGGCTTTGGTCTCATCTGTGGGATATCTATTCAAAATAAAAGGAAAACAAATCAAAACAGAAAGGAAATATGTAGGATAACCTGTATTTTTAAACATTTGAGAAAATACTGCGATGATGCTCTGGTATAGAAGTTACTCTAGGGAAAAAAACGACATTTAAAAAATAATTAACTTGATGTTTACAAAGAATCCAGAAGAATGAATCATATATATACTAGGCTCATATATGAAGACATATCTTTTTGTAAAATAGCAAAAGTTTCAATGAATTCTATCTAAATGCAGAGATGTTTCCAGAGCCATTTAAAATTAATGAGCATGACCATCAAGTACCCTAACAATGAGACACATATTTTGAAGGAAAGTAAGAGTATTAGAATTTTTCTGATTGCCAAAGCAAAAATATTTTTAGAATACATGGGGGTTTCAAAAACTTCATTAAAAATTCCAATTACCTTTCAAGTCCATATTTCACAAACTTTTCAAAGGCTCCTTTTATTGTTCCCAGTGGTGTGTTACTGACTGATTCAAGCCATTTCTAATAGTCCTAATGGTTTTGTCTATGTCTAATAGTTGCCTAAACTTGTCAGAGCTTAAAATAAGAAAGAACATTTTCCTGAAAAATGGATGTTTCCATGTAAAGACTACCAATGTCTTCTCTATATGGCAAAGGTCTGCTTCTAGCACAGGATTTGTCCTTAAAGTTTGAACTTCCAGGTTCAAGACATCTTGGTGTAGCCACTAAACACTAAGACATGATCAGTATACAACAATGTAATTATTCATGCAGAACTTGAGTAAGACTGCTAGTAAATGCAATCATTATTGTTGCTGTTGTTGTTAAGTGTCCCGTCAGTTCTGATTCACAGTGACCCAAGGAGTTGCTAGTGGGCCATCCTGGCCTCCAAGGAGCACTCTGGCTGTACTTCTTCCAACACAGATCTGTTTGTTCTTTTGGCAGTCCACAGTACTTTCAATATTCTCCTCCAACACTACAATTCAAGTGCAGCAATTTTTCTGTGGTCTTCCTTATTCACTGTCCAACTTTCGCATGCATATGAGGTGACTGAAAACACCATGGCTTGGGCCAGGCATACTTAAGTCCTCAAAATGACATCCTTTAAGATGTCACTTTTAAGTTGTCTGTTTTTAACAGATTTCCTAATGCAATGTGTCCTCTGATTTCTTGACTTCTGCTTGGATGAGCATTAATTGTTAATCCAAGTACAATGAAATCCTTGACCACTTCAATATTTTCTTCATTCATCATGATGTTACCTATTTGTATCTAGTTGTAAAGATGTTTGTTTTCTGTACATTGTGTTGTAATCCATACTGAAGTTGCAATCCAAATTGAAGGCTTTGATCTTCATTTGATCTTCACTTTCAGCAAGAAATATGTGTGTCATCTGCATAGCACAGGTTGCTGATCACCCCTTCCTCCAATTCTGATGCTGAATTCCAACTTCTAGGATTATTTGCTCAGCATACAGGTTCAGTAAATTTGGTGGAAGGCTACAACCCTGATGAACATCTTTCCTGATTTTAAACCATCCAGTATCCCTTTTAAGCAGCTCTGGTAGTGTAGTGGTTACGAATCGGGCTGCTAATCTCACGGTCAGCAGCAGTTCGAAACTACCAGCCATTCCGTGGGAGAAAGATGAGGCTTTCTGTTCCCATAAAGATTTACAGCCTCAGAAACCCTATGCAGGGTTGCTATGAGTCGGAACCGACTCCATGGCACAAAGCAACAACAACAACAGTAGCCCCTTGTTCTGTTCAAACAAATATCTCTGGGTCTATGTATAGGTTCCTGACGAGCACAATTCAGTGTTCTGGAATAGCCATTCTTCACAATGTTATCTCTATAGTTATGATCCACAGAGTCAAATGCCTTTGCATACTCAATAAAGCACAAGCAAACACCTTTCTGATATGCTCACATTTCAGCCAACATCCTTCTGATGTCAGCAATCATATCACTCATTCCACGTCCTCTTCTGAGTATGGCTTAAATTTCTGGTAGCTCCCTGTCAACGAACTACTGCAACTGTTTTTGAATTATCTTCAGCAAAATTTTATTTGCACGTGATATTAATGATATTATTCAATGGTTTCCATAGTCCATTGGGTCACCTTTGTTTGGAATGGGCACAAATATGGATCTCTTCCAATCAACTGGCCAGGTAGCTGCCTTCCAAATCTCCAAATTTCTTGAAACTTTTCCACTGGTATTCTGGCAATTCCTGAAGTCTTGTTTTCAGCTATTGCCTTCAGTGCAGCTTGGACTTCTTTCTTCCATGTCATGGTTCTTGATCATATACCACCCTCCCTTAAATGGCTGAACATCAATCAATTCTTTTTGGTACAATTTCTTTTTGTGTATCCCTTCCATCTTCTTTTGATGCTTCCTCATCATTCAATTATTACCCACTGAATCCTTCAATATTGCAAGTCAAGGCTTGAAATTTTTTCTTTAGTCCTTCCAACTTGAGAAATGCAAAATTCGATTCTTCCCTTTTGGTTTTCTGACACCAGGTCTGTACATTTCATTATAATACTTTGTCTTCTTGAGCTGTCCTTTGAAATTTTCTGTTCGCCTTTTATTTCTTCCATTCATGTTAGCTACTATACATTCAAAAGCAAGTTTCAGAGTCTCTTCTGACATCCAGTTTGGTCTTTTCTTTCTTTTTAATGACTTTTTGCTTTCTTCATGTACGATGTTCTTGATATCATAACAAAATGCTTCTGGTCTTTGGTCACTATTGTTTAGTATATCAAATCTGTTCTTGAGATGGTCTCTTTTAAGGTGGGATATGCATCAGTTTGCATTTTGACTCTTGTGGATGTGTTTTAATTTTCTTCAGTTTTACCCTAACTTGCCTATGAGCAATTCATGGTCTGTTCCACATTTAACCCTTGGGCTTGTCTAGGCTTATGATATTGAGCTTCTCCACTGTCTTTTCCCACAGATATAATCTTGATTACTGTGTAATCAATTTGGAGAGTTCCATGTGCAGTTACCGTTTATGTTTTTAGGGGAAAAAGGTATCTGCAATGAAGTTGATTGGTCTTGCAAAATATTATCATGTGATCGCCAGCGCCATTTCTATCACTAAGACCATATTTTCCAACTACCAATCCCTACTCTCCAACTTTCACATTCCAACCATCAGTAATCATCAATCCATCTTGACTGCATGTTTAATCAATTTCAGACTGAAGAAGCTGTAGAATTATTTAATTTCTTCATCACTGGCTTTGATGATTGGCATATTACTCAGACATGAAGTCTTGATGCATACTATAACATGGAGGAACCTAGAATATTTCCTGAGTGAAAGTCAGTCACAACAAGACAAATACTGTATGATCTCTCTTACATAAAATAAGCAAATCACCTAGACAAACCAAACACTGTCAGTGAGTGGTTACCAAGGTGAGAGAGAAGGAAAAGAGAGGTTTTACTTAAGTGACACTGTGTTTATGTTATGGTGATAAGAGAATTTTGGAAAGGCTAGTAGTGGTTACAAATCGGGCTGTGAACCTTAGGGTCAGCAGTTCGAAACTACCAGCTGTTCCAGGGGAGAAAGATGAGGCTTTCTGCTCCCGTAAAGATTTACAGCCTCGGAAACCCTGTACAGGTTCGCTATGAGTCAGAACCAACTCCACGACACATTACAATAACAACAACAACAAGGATAAAAGTACCCTGGTTGCACGGTAGTATTAAGATTGGACTACTAACTACAAGGTAAGCAGGCAAACCCAACAGTTACTCTGTGAGAAAAAGATGAGATTTTTGTTCCTGTAAACATGCATAGTCTCTAAGGAGTTCTGGTAGCATAGTGGTTACGAATTGGGATGCTAACCTCAAGGTTAGCATTTCGAAACTACTTGCTACTCTGCGGGAGAAAGATAAGGCTTTCTGCTCCTGTAAAGATTTATAGCCTTGGAAACCCTGTGGTTTCACCACCAACACCACCAAAACCCATATAGAGTCACTATGCGCCAGAAGTGACTCAATGGCAGTGGGTTTAAGGTTGCACAAAATGACAAATATAATCTATGTTACTGAATTGCTCAGGTGGAAACTGTTAAATTGGTGAAGGTTTTGTTTTGCATATTTATATCATAATAAAAAAGAAAAAAATAATAAAATTTAAAACTCAGAGAAAAAGTCTTCCATCACAATGAAAATTTCGAATAGGAACAAACAAGATGGCGGATCGGGTGAAAGTGCAGTAAAGGAGCTCCACCAACAACAACACAGAATAACCGACCAAGCAGGCTCAGGGGATGGTCCCAGAACTCTGAATCACATATAAAGGAATATTTAGAAGGTTGGAAGGCTCACAGCTGGGGGAATTTG